GCAGGAGAAAACAATGGAATATTCATATCTTCACTCATAAATGCTGTGCGTCAGTGTTAGCATTTTTCATTGATAGAGAATTCTGAAATTTTCATGGGGTCACAGTTGGACAGCAGTTTGTAAAAGCTATTGTTATCTCCACTACCATTTCTTCTATAAACCATTGCTTGTCAAAACAATAAATCAAGACCCTAAATTGCACAAACACATACTGGCTGGCAACTGCTTTCCTGTAAAATAATGCCTTTGCATCAAATATTCCTGAAGCACAGTTCAAAACAGTAGATTATACTCAAAAAAAACAAAAAAAAAAAGGAAAAAAATACGATTGTTTCTGGTTTTGAGAGGTTTTGTGAATAAGTTTACAGGCAGAAATCAGCCATAAAAGACACACACTATAAAGCACTGGGAGCTACATAACAGCAATCTTCATCCTTAGCTCTTTCTAAATTTCAGAAAATGGCCATAAAATTGTAAAAGTACTTGTCAGATTTGAAATGCAGCCTATGCAAAGAGTTTCTTTGTACCATCATGCTGTTAAAAATATGTATAAATACTGAAAGTAAGGAATTGCAGAAAAATGAACATTTCTAAGCTAGAGTATAATAAATCCAAATAAAAGAGCAGCCTGACAACAGCTTACATAGTAATAATATGATTGTAAAAATGCAAATCAACAGAAAGTGCCAGGCAATCTAACGCATAACTGATCATATTAAAGTCATGTTTTATATTGAAGGCTGACAGTCTGTTAGGCAAGAGAACAATACACTAATTACCTATTTTAATTCACTGAGCAGATACAGAATTTTACTAAATCACAGAATTGTAAGGCTTGGAAGGAACCTCTGGGAATCACCAAGTCCATTAGTCCCCTGCTATGGCAGGTTTCCTATAGTAGGTTGCACAGGAAAAAGTATAAGGAGGAGACTTCATAAACTCTCTGGGCAGCCTATCTTATGGCAGAAGTATATTCGTACTAAATGAATGCCACACAGTACTGTGAAACATCAGTCCTACAGCCTTGGCTGCACTTGTACCAAATATAGCTTTGGCATAGTGAGGCTTTTCTATTCCTATTTCATAGAAGAGAAACAGAGTACAAAGAGCACAAATCTCAGAAAAGGTTACAAAAAGTCTTCTAACTCACCAGCTAGAAGACTATTTTCCAAACTATTCTTCTGGTCCTTAGCTAGAATTATGTGACTCTCCAGCTCTGTCTTTTGGGAGGTTCGGAGGTGACACCTCTACATCAGAATGCAAACAGGGAATCATAGAAAGGAACCATTCAAGAGCATGTAGTATTCTTACAACAAAACTCTCTGCTTGGAGTTTTCCAGATGCTGGAAGTTTTGGTATTCAGCAAGTGGCAGAACACTCCTCTCATTTCCATTCTAAGCTGCAGTTCCATAGCAAAGTTGTCAGGTCTTGCTCACACCTCTCCCTCCAGACTGTATAGTGAAGATACACCTCAACCAAAACTGCTCTGAGGAGCTGCGCAGCCTTTCCTATCCTAACCTATACTAGTCATCTCCATTACGAGATTTTATTGAAACAGATTTTTGAGGTGAATTTTTGATGATTTCTCATCCAGTTGCTGATGGCAACAAAGGACACTGATGCCTGCTTTCAGACAGGATACATGATAATGTAAATTGATGTTACGTAAGTGCTGCCAGGAAATAAGGATCAGTCATCCCCAACAGGCTTGAGCAAAGTCCTATTTTAAACTTCCACAGAGCTTTTAGCCCAGACAGGCTAGTAGATCACATACACTAATATGCTCTATATCACAGTCCATTATGGTAAAAAGATTACCCTATTATTTTAAGTGGCAACAGCTTGAGTTGGGAAAACTCCTCCAGAGGACAGTGCGTGTTTTCCACCACAGAAAGAGAAACAGCAACACCAGAGCTTGTGAACTATGCCCCAATCTCTACAATGGCAGAGAAACAAGTCAATGAAAGATCACAAGCCACGATGAACTTTGCTATTAAGGAGGTAAACATCTCTGTTGCTCCCAATTTATAGGCCAGAAGAATATTTTACAAGTTATCTCAAGTTTTGCTGAACAATCAGGGACCTTGGGATCAAGTCACTGAGCATCATCATGGAATGGTGATGATTTCACATTTATCTTACAAAGACCGCTTCCCACAATACAGCAGAATCAATTTGCTCTGCCCCTAGCCCTAAATACATCAGAGAGAAACAACATGAAGCCCCCTTCAGAATGTATCATAGATCTGTATGTGCATGAAAAGAGAAAAAATCACTACAGTCAACTGTGATGAGCTGTAAGTGCAATAAGGCAGTTGAATGCTATACAAAATGTCCATTGCTTCTGCGACATACAACAAAGGGAAATCAACAAGGAGTTCAGAGACTCTGGATAGAAAAAGATACATATATTTAAAGGAAAAAATTATTTCCAGAAATGCTACCTCAGCTAGTATTGGAATTCAGTCAGCTCCACACTGTCACAGCAAAGCCTACGTGAACACACTTCAGTTTGTTGGGCCAATTGCAAACACTGCTGAACTCCACTAAAGCAGTATATTGATTACATGCAGATGGAAAAAAAGTACATCATAGAGGTAATGCAATGACTAATTTTGGGTCTTCTGCAATTTGATCTGTTTTTATGTACATTAGGCTGATGTGACCTTTTCTGCTGAACATAGGCTGGCATTTCAAGTGAGGGGAAAAACTGAGCCGCACAATTTTTGGATCTCATACCCATTATTTGCTGGTATTTTACTAAAAACTTCGGCAATTTTCCACTTCGTTAAGGATCAACTAAGGTCTGATGCTGTTAGCAAAAAACAGAGCTACTAGAATACCAATAGAACAATATTTAACTTAAATATATATATATATATATACACACCCCTACTGCTTACAAAATAGTCGCATAATAATTACAGTTCTTGCTGAAGCCATTTCTAGCTTTAGAGTATGCACCTAAAGGAAAACAGTTCTGCCTCTTTAATTCTGTATAAGCTGCCTCAGTCAATTAAGTTACTGATATTTAAGCGTGACTTCTGCAACATTTATGTTATTTGTTGTAAGGAAAGTATTAAATGCTCGAGGTGTCAACAGAGAAGGCCCTAGGAGAAAAGCACTGACTTTCAATTAGAAAACAATTTCTTAACTAAGCAAAAATATTGATCATTAGAAACACTTCTACCCTTGCCATTCTTGGCAATGCATACGTCTGAGCAAACAGATTGTCCTAGCTCAGCTGGTCTTCAATTCTGTTCCCACATGTGGAGTGGACACAATGGGTCCCTGTGCCTGACTGCTTTTCATCCTGCACACCTCTGATGTGGATTCTGTGATAGGGAAAACAAAGGAAGGCAATCCTTGATTCATTTAGAAATGAGGAAGACATGCTTTTTTGGGGGAGGCAGTGACTCAAATTACAAGAGATTTGCACATCAAATATTCTTTGTGAAGCCATTATCTTTGTGCACTACATATGGAGGCAGGGCAAGGTGGGCACTGACTGCTGCCATGCTAGCAACAACACTTCATGCAAAATAGCCTCATCTGCTCTGCAGTGCATGTGAAGCCTTGTCTGCTCTATAAAGCTTCTTTCAAGAATCTCCTCTTCAGCCCTCTCATTTTTGAGAGATGAATATGACAAACTGTAAGCATGCGAAACTGCTGATAAACAACTCTCTAGTTGCAACAGCTAAGTTCTACTTATACACAAACTTCAAATGCTGAACCAAATTATAGGATATATGAGGTGACTTTCAGTAAGCAGCAAGAAATCACAGCTGGTCAGAGGACCAGGAAGACCTGTGGAAGAGCAGTGGGGCATCTAGCTGCTCTGAATCATTCCGTGATTGCATTTGCTGCATCTGTGTTGAAGAGTTGCCACACTGCCAGGAGAAGGAAAGTACTTTATCAGCACTTAAACCAATGCAAGATGAAGACTGATGTGCCTGGATGGGGGACTGCTAGGTAAAAAGTAACAAGGAGAACAATGAAAATAAGCCACAGAATGCTGCAATTACCTACTTCTTTTCAACGTTCTGGTCAACCCCTGGATACAAGGGTCATGCTCTGCAAGAATCACATCCTTTCATTTCAAATATTGCAGAGTCTGGGCCAGAGACACTGATTTTCTGTTGCTATTGCTTCCAGGTTTTGTGTTGAGAAGGGGAAAATGCTGACTTTCTAACCTGTCAAAATCTGCAGTGTGGCATTTCAGACAGGAATGAGAATCACAGCAAGTCTGCCTGCCAGCCCTGCTGAGATGCATGCTGAATAAGAGACTTGGGGACTCTATCACACTGAACCATGTCTGGCTGCCTGACCTCTCTTTGCTGGTGAGGATTGACCCCAGCTGAACCTTATATGAGAATAAAAAGAAAAAAAAAATTTAAAAATACAATTTTATGAAGAGCAGACAGTCATTCCTTTGAATGAGCGGATCTATGTAATATTGGTATTAGAGGCTGTCTTATCAAGAATTATATACAAATCAGCTTGACACTGTTCAGGTTTGACAGTCCTGTGTTAAAATTACAGCAACACACACACAGTAGCAATATCACCAATCATAAACAAAGCATTTGCTGCCACAAATGTGGACACAGTGATTAATGCATGTACTGTAACAACCTCAGCAAAGAAAACACAACTAAAATTTGTTCAGAAAGCAGTCTGCAGAGTAGAGAGAATTGCTGTAGTCATGTTCTTTGCTTTCCCAATGCCAGTACTTTCTCTTAACTATGTGTCTGTTTCTTTTTCACACAGCCACCAGGCCAGAAAAGATCAGGAAGTGTTACTGAGCACAGCTTGTGAATTTGACAACTTGTTGCCCTGATCTTTTTGCCAGTTTGAAGTTCATAGCTGCTTGCTTCTACTACCTTTAATTACTACGATGCAGCCTGCATGGAAATTCCTGGGCCTGGCTTCTTTTATCGCAGTCACCTTCTTTGCTAGTTTTGCTTCATTTTCCCACTCTCCCCTTTATTGCTACTTACTCAAAGGGGTCGCTGGGATCAGCTCTCTGGAGCTCAGGAGGAATCGGGATTCTTTTGTAGTACATTTCCCAGTCAAAAGCTCCTCGCATGGCATCCCCTGCCTGTGCCTCGTAGCCAAAATGATTGTGGTCAATGACATCGATCATAGGACACACGATGGTTTTGTGGTTTAGTGCAATCTGGTCTGAAAAATGAAAGTAGAAAATAGGAAATGGCATGTCTAGTCAAGCCATCTGTCATATTACTGCAAAGCGAATCCCACAGGTTTTTTGATGTTTGAAAATCGGTTGCTTCGTTTCCTGTGGCCCCCAAAACATTTCATTTTTCAAATCTGTATCAAGCCTTTGTCTAAGAGAACTTAATGCAGTTGGGCAATGATTAGAAGCATTTACAGTTCTTTAAAGGGAGGCATATCCCTCAGAGACCCACAGGAGTCCAGTCATCTGTATCTCTGTCACTTTGCTACTCTAAGCTGTCCCCAATCTGTCAGCTATGCAACAAGCCAGCGAGCAAAATGTAAAAATACTCCTTCAGCTGTAGGGAGTGTATATGGCAGGCTCCTCTGAAAGAGATTCATGTTCCCAAATGCAAATCTCAGACTTTGCAACCATTCAGCCCCTGCTCTGTAGCACTGGTGAACATCAGCTCTGAGATCAAAAGCTAAAATTAAAGGCAAATTCCAACACAAGGAACAAAATAGGGCTGCCGTCCTTTTTGTGCCTTTCTTGGCAGTACAGAGAAAGCCTTAGAGCATTATTCTTACTCACCTGTTTTATAAAGAAGGGGGTTTCAGTTGACTTAAAAAAAAAAAAATGAAGCTTTGAGACTAAATCAAATTCCCGTCTCTAATATAAAAGCAGTGTGGGCCTGAGTCTGCCTTTGGAGAATCCTACTGCTTAATCCCTTAGAGCTTCCCAGAAAAGAAATAAAAGGAAAGAAGATATGCCAACTGCAAGAATTAGGCAGAAGAATCATGTTTTGAAGTGAGGAAGTACACGAAAACTTTGTAGCTGCACTTGAATTAAAGAACAGCAGAAAAATTATCCATGAAACCTTCAAAAAACAAGGTCTCAACATTGTAACTGTAGTAAAGCTTTTTCTCCAAATGATATCCTAGATTCTCTACAAAATGTAATACATTTTCTAAGCCTACGTGATTTTTTTTAATAAGAATTAGATTTCACTAGTGCTTGGAAATATCCTAGAAAAGCCCCCAAATATCAGAGGGAGGAATGTATAATGAACACTTAGATATTAAGGCAAGAAATATTAGCATGATTATTACCAATGTGGACCTTGTTTCCCTGTTTATGAAGGACTGAAATGAAAATTTTATATATATATATATATATGTTTTAGCAAAACTTTTGTCGCTTTTATATTTATTCTCAATTATTATTAAGAGACTGTCCAAATGGGGAAACAGCACTGACTGCTAGTGAGAAATTGCTATACCTGGGAGATTTACATCCTAAATCTTGAACAGCGAAATAAATTTAAAGTGCAGCTCTCACAATATTCTAGGAAACTCTTCTGAGAGATAATGGCTGCATTACTGTTGCAACTGCCAAATATAATTACATTCACTGATATACTATGTAGTGCTATCTGTAATCATCATGTAAGGTCATTTTTATATAATCTCTTTCCTGTGATGGTCCTGCTAATAATTACAGGGCTTATGATAATCTATCTCTGATCCTTGCTTTGTGAACAGATTGGAAGTGAGAAATTAAACGGGGTTGATTTGGCTGGTGTGGGTCGAAGGTAGATCATAATGCATACACATCTTTCCCTTTAAGAGTTGCTGCCTTTAAATAGGTTGAAGGATTGGAAACAAGCAAAGACAGCCAGTGATACAATTGTTTGAGCAGTGCTCCAATTCAAACCCCATCTTTCTTCCTACAGGTCTGCAAGACTTTTGCAAGTAGGATGGTGCTAACATGCCTGATCAATGAGGAACCACAGCAAAATCTGGACATTTGAGGAAAGTAGGATGTTAAATTACATATCAGTGCACACCAAAAGGCAAAGTAATCAAACTTTCAGCCTTAGTGTTTCTTCCAGTATGCCTGAAATAATGAATTTTACATACAGGCTTTAAAGGCTTAAACGTAGCCTTAATATGAATTCAGGACACAGATAAAAGTGCTGTAGGGGCAAGCTTCTGTTCCCCAAGAGTACTGGTATCATAGCTTTACAGATGTGAACATGCTGATGCCTTTGCCACCAACTGCTCTCTATCCCAACTACTCCTAACGTAAGACATGCTTGCATCTTCCAGCTGGTTTGCCCCTCAGTTTCTTACTTCAAGCCCATGACAACTGATTTTTGCACTACACTGGACTCAACTACAGCAGCTGGAGTCCAAATTACAGTTCTCCTTCAGCTGACTTCACACTACTGAGAAGTGATACCAACCAGCTGTGTTTGCCAACATTTTTACATGGCTACAGCTGCCTGCTTAGTGACCAGCAGGCAAAACTCCCTGCGATCTCAGTCTTGGAGTGGCTGATCTCAGTTTAGAATGCCATTTAAGCTAGCCAAATAAACTAAATAAAGCTTAGAAAAGTAAAGAAAAGCCATTTTGCAGCCATTTTAAGAAAAAAATAAGGGCTGTAACTGAAATGAATATATTTTTTTCCCCACAGAAAATACCTATCATTGAGTTATTTTGATATCTTACAAGTACTGAAGCAACTCAGTCTTCCTATGGTCTAAAAAGTGATAGTCAATTCTAAAAATGTAAGCCAGATGCCTAAATAACTTTGAGAACTGTCTTTAAGTGATTTTTTTTTCTTTTTCTTTTTCCTTCTGTCTTTTATCAAGCAAGGACTGACTTTCAGAAGAACTGCCACTACTGTGGAGCAGTACAAGTTATTGCCTCTCTCAGTGAAGACTGGCAATCTTCACTCCAGCATGGAATTGAAATGGGCTCTTTTTGAGGACTTTCCACTATGCTCAACGGATGAAAATTACAGTTAAAATAGGGCAGCTTCTGTTCTGGTTTCCTTGAACAACATGAATTCAAATGCAGTGCTGTACGAATCACAACACAAATCTTTAGGTAAACACTTGCAAATATTTATCTATATTTATCAGCTTTACTATTATTAGTTCCTAAACATCTAATGGTTCTGAGAAAATCTCCTCTTCCCTTTGGGTGAAGAGGGTATAAGGCGTTCTTACATTGAGTGTTCATTCACTATTTGCCCTCCCTCATGTAAAGCTTGTATTCTTTTCTTCAAAATCAAGCCTACTGCACATGGGCTCCTGTGTTCCACTACATTACTTCCCAGATCCTCTGTCTGGTTTGCTAAGGGTGTTTCCCCTGAAAGCAGACTAAGATGCTGTTGCACTTGAGAATTGGATAGAACAGGGTCTTGGTCCCCTTCTATCATCTTTTCACTTTTCTATCTCAAGGTTGAGGATTGAGATCATCAGTGCAACATCCCTGTGAACCTAGTTGCTATTATGAATTCTTTGTGGCCGTTCTGTTTAGCATTATTTATTTGGTGAAACCCAGCTAGATGTATCTTTGCTTTACACAAGAAAACAGGAAAAGGAACTGTTTTTGCAATTTGCAATTTTCCCACATCTAAGCTAGCAAAATACAAGGGTTAAATATCATCTGCAACAACTTAGCAAAAGATTTCAGCAGACAAGAGCGACAATCTTCCTGATTTTTTTTTTACATTAGTAGTGATGTACTGTGCACTTTCGGGAAAAATCAGAAGGTAAAGGAAGCATATGTGCACTGCAGGGTGTTGGACAGCTATCTGTCAGGGCTGCCTGTGGAAGGAGCATTGAAACTCACATTTCTCTCTGCTCCTTTATGCCATTTGGGCTTTACATGAAGACAGCGAAGTTACTGCTAAAAACACTGATCTTGTGACTACGGGTGGTATGGTAACAAACGGAGAGAGTGTAAATTGATATGGAAGCTAGAAATGATGTAAATTTGGAATTTTGTAATTATCTTTCTACTGATCTGAAGAAAAACAGTTAATATTTCTGTTTTTTGGTCTCATGTGATTGCTCATTAGCAGAACAATGCCTCTCCTTGGCTGTAAATGTTTATTGGCTTATCGTATGGCCTACAAACAAGATTCAAGAAACAATAACCATTAGGTGATGAAACTCTTTCCTGTCATACCATTAAGACATATTCTTGTAATTAATATAAATTTCCTTAATAACAAATTCAGAAGTTTTATTTAGCTTTGCTAGCAGAAAGCACTCATTTTCATAAACTTCGCATGTAATCAGGAGGGCAGAAGAGGGAACATTGTTTCCTAAGTGAAATCCTAGACTACAACAATTGATTCTTTCCATTTCTTTGACTAATGGAGCTTTGCTGGGTGCAGCTGGAATCCAGCAAAGCAGTCAATAGCTAATCATTCTCTCTGAGCTTTCTATTGTGAATGTGTTGTTATTGGATTTAACTCTGAAGTCCTAGATACATTTGCAGTGAAAGCTATTTTAATGGAACGTAGAAGCCTAGGAAGGAGTATGAAAAATGCATAACAAAAGTTTTCAGGTGTATGGTAAAGGCATAGCACAATACTAGATTTAGTAGTCTACTTAGTAGTAGTAATAACACAATAAAATGTAACTCTAATGTAACTCTGATAGGCCAAAGTGTCACTTCTAAATCTCACTAGTTCTTTGGTTGCAAAAAAAACCCCAAAACATAAATTGGAGCTGCTCAGGTTTTTCTGAGTTCTCTCTCATATTGCTTCTTCAGACACTGCAGTGCAGCTCCAAATGCTTCTGCACATTTTATGTCCTTATGGTGAGCTGTGGCCTGGATTGCTTAAACTGTGCTATACGCTCTACTTTTAATGGCTGATGAAAACTCAGACACTTACTAAGCAGGGGAGGCAGCCAATTCACGTTGACTTCGCAATGGGAATCCAGAAATGTCAAGACTTCTCCTCTAGCCAGCGAGGCTCCTAACAGTCTGGTCCGAATGAGCCCTTCTCGTTTCTTGGTACGTACAATCCTCACTTTGGCAAAACGGACCATGTATTCCTCCAGCTTCTCTTTTAAATGTTCTAGAAAGAAGGGCAAAAAAAGCGTCAGTTGTGCCAAGACTGGAGGAGCCAACAGAAGGACAGGTTGGCATACAACCTGCAAGCTTATCCATTTCCATCTCTTGTTTTTTCAAGACCTCCAAAATCTGCCACAAATCCTCTCTGAGATGGTTCAGAAAGTGCAAATGCTGTGTTTTATCACCCAGAGGAAGACACTGACTCTCTGGACCTTTTGCTGCAGTTGCTACTGGCAACCTGCCATCTGCTATATATTCATGACCAAAACAACTGCAGGATATTCATGCATCCTCTGGTTCCCACAGCCCAAGGCCACACAAAAATTCTGGCATACTGTTTTACAGAAAGTGTCTGTTCCAAGTGGACTGCTATTATCAACTAAGTACTATTATCAAGAAATGAACATAGAAAGCTATTTTTAAAAAATAAGCACTGAACTAGCACAATTAGATTGTTTTATTAATAGGGAGGGAAACAGACATGAAGATCTTAAAAGTTGGATACCTGCATGAAGTAAATGGGCAGCTAATAAAATTAGGCTCCAAATGTACAGCAGTTGATATATTTCTTATCTGCATAATCTGGCTTTGCTTGTGTCACAAAACAGCACTTTAGGGAACCTTCTCTATTCTAAGTGAAAACACACACTGAAACCACAAAAACCAAAACCAACTACCACCAAAGAAATCAGACCTTAAATTTTTAGCTGTTCCTAAATGCATCTGCAACAGATACACTGATCTTTTGCCTTTGATGCAACACCTCAGCTTCTCAGATTCATTGCTTTGCAAGAATTTGATAACTTCTCTTGGCAAGGAAAGAGGGAGAAAAAAGGTTGGTCTCCAATATCAATAACATGGCAAGATGCCACAGTAAGTGATACTAAGAGTTGTAAGCTAAATCTCACTGATACAATTTTGCTACGTTATGATTGCCTCTTGTATCAGCTCTCTATTCTTTGGACTTGTATGGTCAGTACAGGCCTTGATCCAGACCTTACATCACAACTGATTGCAATAAGTTTGTTACAGACTACTAGAAAGTACTTTAGCAATGCCCTCAAGCGTATGTATGCATAGATTTAAAGGAAACAAGCAAACACACAGCTCAGAGAATACAGGATATTGTGTTCAAATAAAATTAAGCTCCACAGAAACAGCTTCCTGCACATACACCTCCTTTTGTCTACGCCCCTTACTTCCTAGCTGATCAACATGCAAGACTTTCTAAATGTACCTGTGGAATAAGAAGTAGTAGAAAACATTGAATTGTCAATGAATTGCTAGCAAACCTGAAGCAGCACAGACAATTTACATGTGTTTAGTAGGGCAGCATTGCATAGAATATTTCTGAATGGATTTATCTTGTTGCACTGATGAGGGAGAGGTCTGAGATTTGATAAAAGCAGCTTGCAAGGATTACAGACAGTTGGGGCATTGGAAGGGAGAAACTCAACTTTGGAAAGGCTCTGGAGGCCTGCAAGTCATGACAGTGGTTCCCATGAGAAGTATTAGATCAAGCAGTAAACAGAAGTGTGGTAAGTCTCCTGGGGTCATTGTGAAAAAACTGAGAAATATGATGAAGCCAGGTAGTAGACAAAAAATAAGGAATGACATTCAAATAAAAATCAAATGGTTTTGACTCCTACAGTATGGCTGAGTGGAGAATTCCCAGGTTTTCATTTTGAAAAGAGGTATCCCTTTTTTTCATCCCAATTTGCTACCTACATTTCTCAATAAAAGCCAACACAATCCTGCAGCAGTAATGATGACAAGAGTTGTACTGTGTCTTTGAATGATAATCTCTACCTGCCCAACCACATCTACATGACAAGGGCTGCATGCCACTCAGACTCATTATAGGTACCAGCTATTCAGTATCATGACTGGCCTTAGGTTAAATCAGGTTTTAGATCATTTTGTGCCCGTGTACAGGATTGCCTAAAGCGTGTATTTATCGACCTGTTTTCCTGTTTTTATGAGCTCCACTGAGGCTATTCCCATAGTGCAGGAATACAGAAGAAGGGAAATAGACCTTAGAAACAAAGATACAAAGAGTCCTTACAGGAAATACAAGATAGACTGTTAGGGCTGTCAATCATAGAATCACAGATTGGCCTGGGTCGAGTTTCAACCCCCCTGCTACGTGCAGGCTCACCAACCATCAGACCAGACTGCCCAAAGCCACATCCAACTTGTTCTTAATTGCATCGTTTTATGGCCATGAAAAACGAAACAGTTTTAAATTGACAGGATATTACATATTTCCAAAGATCAAATCTCATCTCTTAGATACCATGTCTTCTTTTACTCCTGAGACACCGTGCAAATTTCTGTAGTACCTAAGGTCATGTAAACCCTTCCCTCTGATCTTTTCCATCCACAAGTCTGAAGTTCCATCCACACTGCTATATCATGCAAAATTAAACAGAATAGAGACTAATAATATAAATTTGATTTGTAATATGATTTGGTTGAGCTCAGACACAACTAGTGACAAACTCCATGAAATCAGTGATCGTTCATAATCTTCCTTCACTGATTCCTTGCAAACTCTGGAAGAGTGGCCTCCCACGCTTTTATTATTTTTATTTTTTTATTTTCTATTTCGCTGAAATAATAGTCAAAATTCTGTACAGCAAACACCATCTTCCTTCCTTTCCTTCAAATATCTATTCACACATTTCAGACAGAACGCCATTTGGTTTGTGAAGAATGGCATTAAAACACCTAGCACATCTTCTGAAATCAAAATCACATGTACCAACGTTGTTTTCATCTACTCAGTCCCATAACTGATTTTTTTTTTTTGTATTATGGTTCAAAGAAAAACCCATAAATTAGTTGAAGTATAAAAACAAAAATTCATATCTTATTCATGCTGACTTTTAAATACATTCTCATTTAGACATATTTGGAAGTAATCAGGACAAAAACAAAACGAAGAGTTAGTTTTGATAAAGCATAGACAAGTGACCTTGAAAAAAAGATCATGTCTATGCACAAAGGGAAGTATATACATTATTAGAGGTAAGACCTAGATAAAGTATCTACATGTGTTAAAACAGTGACGCTAATAATATTCTAACAATAAATCACAACAGAAAGATATGCCTATTACAGTATCTTACCTATTTTTAGCTATGAGATTTGGTCAAGAAGGAAATTTGGGAAAGTTATTTTGGAAAAATATGAAGTATTTAAGTTCAATAGCCAACAGTAACATTCTCTGTTCAGAGAATGAACACATCTTACAGTGGAGAAAAAATGTCCCTTTTGGACATACAAGTAATGATAAACGTATTTTTAAACCTAATATGAAAGAACTCTCACACTGTATTTTCCCTTGCAATGTATTGTGTCACTATCTAGTTCTAATCTTTCCAGTCTCTGATACCATAAACAAACACAGAATAACAGCCAGTAGCAGTAGGCAAGTAGAACCACAGAATCCTTAGGGTTGGAAGGGACACTTAAAGGTCATTTAATCCAACTCCCCTGCAGCTCCAGAGCCTCATTCAGCCTGACCTTGAATGTCTCCAGGGATGGGGACTTTTACCACATCACTGAGCAACCTGTGCCACTGCCTCACCACCCTTTCTGTAGAAGCCTTTTCCTTATGTCCAACCTAAATCTCTCTTCTTTTAATTTGAAACCATTTCCCCTTGCTCTGTCACCAAAGAACCTGCTCAAGAGCCTGTCCTCTTTTTTCTCTACAGCCCCCCTTCAGATACTGAAATACCACTCTTAGGTCTCCTTGAAGCATCTGGATGCAGTTCTCCAGGTGAGGTATCAACACAGAGTGGAGGGACAGGATCACCTCTCTCAACCTGCTGTCCATGCTTCTTTTGATGCAGCCCAGGATACAGCTGGCTTTCTGGCCAGCACACTGCTGGCTCATGCCCAGCTTGCTATCTACCAGTACACCAGATCCTTTCTGGCAGGGCTGTAATCTATCCTTTCATCCCTCGGCTTGCACTGACAGTAGGGATTGCCACCAGCCAGGTGCAAGACCTTGCCACTTGGCTTTGTTGCATGAGGTTCTCCTGGGCCCACTGCTCAGCCTATCTAGGTCTCTCTGGATGACATCCCCTGTGGCCACAGCACACAGATTGGTGTCATCTGTGAACTTCCTGAGGGCGTACTTCATCCCACTGTTGATGTCACTGACAAAGACATTAAAGAGCATTGGTGTCAGTCCTAACCCCTAGTAGTAATCAGCCATAAAAAAAAAAAAAGTGGCATTTTATTTTGTGTAGAGAAATTTTAAAAACATATCCTTCCTGTTCAGCTATTTACCAGTTACTCTTGCATTACTCAATTTACATGAAACTCTATTTAATGGTCATGTAGCAGTCAGCAGCTGGCTTAAGAGTCAGCTACCTACTAGGAGAGCCAGGGATGCTTCAGTGAATACAATACCTGGTAATCTCACAGTTCAAGTATTATTTAAAACAGATCAGAGAAGACTTTATAATTCTCTGTATGACAATACATTTGACTAACAAATTATTTTGACAGTATTTATCACGATATACAAATGTTGATTAAACTCATTTTTATCCCCAAAATAACAAAATAAACTGTGCCCTTTCACAGCACTCCAAAGATTTCTTTCTTAGAAGAAAAAAAAAATATATATATATATATTTTTTTTTTCTGATCATACTGTTTTGCTAATATTATCTCCAGAAGAATCATCTCACACACAAAACCTATGCATTGTACACACATTTAGAAGCAAATAATCTCAGGTGCCCAAATAAACATGCATCAATCAATGTCAGAGCAAAACTATAATTCTAAAGAAATCTTCTGAAAGAAGTTATAATAAAGTGCATGAAATTAAAAGAGGCATGAAATAAAATGGTCTTTAAATCTTCAGAAGACAACACATTAAGCCCATTTACTACCAAAGGAATCAGTTCAGGAAAGCTTACCATGATAATAAAACAAGGAGGTAGGATGGTTTCATTTATATGCTGTAATATTACATAAATTTCA